CAAAGCTAGGGCATACATGTGCTGCAGTTCGGGTTCAAATGGCACAACCAGTGTTCAAACCACGGTGGATTCTAGCTTCCTAGCTGGAGGCTCGACAATCTGAGACGCATCGATTGTCCCACCCGATACCCAATGCTCTGGGAAGAGATGGCTTTGGAGTGCCCTAACAAGCTTGTCCCAGCTGTGCCACAAATCAAGTCCTGCATCAACAGTGTATCGGCATCGGAAAGGCTGACATACGTCATGAACTTGAAGGGAGCTGTCGCACCACCATCGGCAAGGTCAGCCGTTCCAAATCCCTGACTAGAATGGTGATTGGCAAGCTTTCTGGAGTTCGCGATCCCAGAATTCGATGGACCCCGACTACTCATAAGACTAGGCTGGATTCACGATCGACGCAGGGACACCCAGCTACTCATGGGGAGTCATCGTCAGCCCAACAGGCTTCAACTATACAATAACCACTAGCAACAACCGCAGCACGTGTGAATATTCCAAATGAGCTTGGTGCTTGCAAGCTTGCAACTTGAAGGTTATCCTGCATTGTGGCAGGCAGGCATAGGGCTGAGTCGTTGAAGACGAACTAGCCCCTGATCCGCGTGTCCTGCCGCAGCGAAAGAAAGCTGTAGGCACAGCTGTTCATGTTGATCTTCACGTTGATCTTTGTGGCTGTAGTTCCAAGGCAGCGGTTTCCAACCAGCGATGGATTAGAAACGGGGCACTTGTTTGGAGGCCCCCATGCGTGAGCCTGCCGCACCCTAAAAAGAGACTGTGTGGAAGCCCTCGCGCTCTACCCGGATTTCCCCAACCAAGCATGGCGTATATGGCGTTCGCGGTATCCGTTGTGAATGCCCGCATGACCGCCAGCGAGACCTGGAAACACATCAGGGCTCACCTTGAGTTGCAATGCCGTGCCAGTGCTTGGATGCCGTGAATAGTGCCTACTTGCCTTTTGACAGCAGAAGTGTGAGCAGTGTGTTACTCTCCGCTACACAACATGACTTTGGACTTTCTGAAAAATGAATACGCAAGGGGCCGTGCACAAGCCAAGACACTTGAGGATGGGCGGCCAAAATTGAGGACATGCGCGCCCGAAAATCTTGTCTTGGTGGGCAAGTCCACGAGATTGAAGGTCAAGCGACAATTTTGGACAATTTCATCTTGTCCTGTTTCAACATGCCCCTGCCCCCTTTTCGCCCGAAAAATCCTGCATTCAGTGATATTGTCATGACCCGAGCAGAAGGTTGTAGCAACACTTCTCCGAAATGCGGAGTTTCCCAACCCTAGAGAACTTAGGTTTTTAATAAGCACGACTGGATGCAGTTGGCGCGGGCAACTCGTCAGTCTACCGTTCTTGCAACGAGAATACTCTCTTCGGGCATACTCTTTTCTGAAGAGACACTGTGGGACTGAGTAAGCCGTCCTTCTCACCTGCCTCAGCTGCTGTTCCTCTTTGCTAGGCAGGGCCGACGACACAGCTTTGGAATCTGCAGCAGGCGGCAGACCTTTCGGGGCTTCCGTTCGTCAAGGCTGTGGCATATGTTTGCAGGTAGTGGTTGGAGGGAGAGCTGGTTGTTCGCAGCTCAGCGAACAGCGGCAGCTGCAGACACGTGAACCACGATGTGCCAGACATTCCAAGAGGCGAATGGGATTGTATGATGCTCAGATTTCGCTGAGGACCGACCCTCAATACTTGGTGCGTTCTACATCCGTACACAATTCGGTCTTGGGAACTGGATATGGACAAAGCAGGCAACTTTCTCGGTAGCCCCTGCTTCGACTGCGACCCGAGGTTGCAGCCGCCCAGGCCTTGCTTCAGTAGCTGTGGTGCACCTGCATTCAAGCACACTGCGGGCAACACAAGACTGCTCCTGAAAGTAGCCCAGCTCAACATCCACACATGGGCCTGGGACAAGCAGAGTATGCTCGCTGAATCAGCAGGTCGGAGGCACCGTGGGAAAAGAATAGGAGCACTGAAGTGAACTTCAGAGCTGCAGCCGGTCCAAACAAACGCGTGTGGGAGCCGCAGTCAGGAATGCGAGCCGCACATGCGCACGGAACCTCCTCCGACTTGGGGGTCTCGTCCACAGCTTTGTTTTTCTCCGCGCTTCTCGTCTTGCGATTCTTATTGGAGGGGCCAGGACTCCTATCGGTCGCCGGTGTCTCCTCGACTGAACGGCTAATGCTAATGCGAGTAGCCGCCGGTATCTCA